TGAGGATATGCACCAAAGATCCCTGAATGTAAATAATTGCATGTACTGAACCACTCGAAGCTCAAACAGATTGATGTGGCACCTAGATTCATTGTTGGACCACTTCCCTTGTATGTATTCTTGTTGGAAGTGGGCACCCCAACCTAGAAGTGAGCTGTCTGGAGTGAATTGCTTCGATAGTTGATCTCAGTGGAAGGGCAACCCAGAGCAGAAGTTCTGTGTCTGGGTCCACCATTGTAAGGAAGGACTTTCAGCGTAGAGGAAACATGCCTGTGGTCGTGGTGCTCAGTTGGCGTATACACTGAGGCAATCCACTGTTGGAAACATTGAATGTGCAGTCTGGCATGTGGGACAACATATGTAGTGGCTGCCATATGTCCCATGAGTTTGAGACAAGTTAGAATGGGAACACTTGAGATGCTGGCCATGATTGTGACCAGGCTTTTTATATTGTCGAAACGTTGATTGGGGAGATAGGTGTGTACTGTCCTAAAATCTATGCGAGTCCCTATGAACTCTAGGGCTTATGTGGGGTGCAGAGTAGAATTTTGGTTGTTGATAATAAACTCTAGAGATTGAAGGAAGGTCTTTATGAATCTGATCATGCCCCTTGTGATCTATTGGGAGAAACCTTGGATGAAGCCTTCGTCCAAACAAGGGAAGATTGTGATGCCTTTCTGACGGACGTGCACAACTGCAACTGCCAGTGTCTTGGTGAATACCCTAGGGCAGAGGAGAGTATGAACGGAAGGACTCTGTACTGAAAATGGTCTGATGCTACTATAAAGCATAGAAAACGTCTGTGTGCACGGTGTATCATGATATGGAAGTATGCATCTTGGGGGTCAACGGCTGCAAACCAGTCCCCCTGTCCAGTACGGGAATAATCGTAGCGAGTGTAACCATTTTGAAATGCTGCTTGTGAAGGATCTGTTTAGTTGACGGAGGTCTAAGATAGGTCTCCAACCCCCGTTCTCTTTTTGGTGAGAAAGTAGTTTGAGTAAAAACCTCTCCCTTGGTATTGCTTGGGGACCCTTTCTACAGCTCTTATGTTGAGAAGGTGTTGGACTTCTTGACAGAGCAAGGTTTCATGAGAAGAGTCACTGAAGAGGGAACGAGAGGGTGAGGAGGTTGAGGGAAACTAACAGGAAAGGAATAGAGTACCCGCAGCTGATGATTTCTAAAACCCACCAATCTGCAGTGATTACTGCCCAACAGTGGTAAAAAGGGCGCAAGCAGTGGTGGAAGATATTGGGCTTGCCTGCCACTGGTGCGGAAGGGAGGTTGAGCAGATCTTCAACCAAATTCTCAAAACCTGCTCTCTAGAGACCTGAGTCATGGAAGAGAGTATGTTTGGGGCTCTTCTCCATTGGTTTTCTGGTCAGAAGCAGCTTTGGTCAAATGGTTGATGATGAAGCTTCCTGCCAAACGTTGTATCCCTACATCTTTGGTAGGGTGGGGGGGGGGGGGGGGGAGAGGGATACATCCCCAGTGTGCACAAGGTGGTGCATGAGTGTTTGCTAAAATGCAAAGCTTCATCAATCTTTGCAGCAAACAATTTGTCCTGATTGAATGGTAGGTATTCTACCTTGGCCTGGAGTCCTCTTTGACTGGACCAGGGTTTCTAATTTTTCCCTGTTTGTTTCCCAAGCTTCTTGCATTTGTGTACAAACACCTTAGATAACCAGCTGATTGCCCGACCTCTCCATTTGAATCAGGGGTCCTTCTTTGTTGCCCGTTCCTCCTTGTACTTCTTCCCGGTATCTGACTTCCCCACTTACCTCAGGGCTTTGGTCACCGTCCCCCAACGAACCTACTTTAAAAGCCCTCCTCATTAGGTTTGCAAGCCTGCCTGCGAACATGCTCTTTCCTCTTTTGGTTAGGTGGATCCCATCTCTTTCTAACAATCCTTGTGCCTGGAACAGAATCCCATGGCCAAAGAAACCAAAGCCCTCTCTCTGACGCCACCTGTGCAATCACGTATTTACTTCCTCAATTCGACAATCCCTACCTGGACTTTTTCCTTCAACAGGGAGGATGGACGAGAACACCACGTGCACTTCAAATTCTTTGATCCGTCTTCCCAGCGCTACATAATCTGCAGTGACCCGCTCAAGGTGATTCTTGGCCGTATTGTTAGTTCCTACATGGAGAAGCAGGAAGAGGTAGCAATCCGAAGGTTTGATCAGTTTTGGAAGAGTCTCAGTCACATCCTGAATTGAGGTCCTTGGTAAGCAGCACACTTCTCAAGATTCCAGGTCTGCGCATGGCAGATGGATGACTCAGTCCCCCAAACAGCGTATGCATTTGCTGTGGTCATCATAGGCTGGCATGGAGTCCTGGCATTTCTTGCATCTTCTGAAGCCGAGAGAGACTGGCATTTTGTCCGGTGGCAGACTATGCCACTTGCAGCTGCAAGTGTTATTTACGAGTAAAGCTGCCTTTCCCCCTTTTTTTGTGTGTGTGGCAGTTTATAGTTTCCGTGGCTTGCCACTGCACAGCAAAAAACTGTTGTTCTGACTAACTATATACAAGCTGAAGTGAAAAACTGGGTGGTTTTTTTGTTTTGTTTTTTGGGTAAGTATTAACTGTCTAACAGAAAAAGAATGAACCACAATGGGAAAGTCTATACTATCTATCTAAAAAGCCTTTTTCTCCTCCTAGAAGTGAGATGAGGAGAAAGGATGGAGCTCCTTCTGTAGCTGAGAAAGGTGAAGAAGGAACTAAGGGGAGTCTTGCTGCTTGCGCTAACTTCAAACACGAGACCACTGAGTGCCTCTTGTGCATGCGCAGCTCAACTGGAACAATGCTGTAAAAATCTCCCATCTATGGCGCCGGGACGAGCCTGACACCAACAGTGGAGCACCCACGGGGACATCACTCGAAGAAGTGAATATTAAAAAGAACCCCTCCAAAATGTTACTGTGGTATTTCTAATAATGTTAAGATGCATAGCAAGAACTTTACTTTTTTTTATCATTTCATTTTAAGATCAGATTCATCAATACACTCTGGCTGCTTTGGCCTAGCCAGGAGCAGCAGTGAGATACCATCTTAGTGAGAGCACACCTTGCTTTTACTCTTTATCGTGAGCAATGAGTCAGTAGCCATTACAGAAAAGGGCACTTTTGTTAAGGGCCAGTATGGGTATATTCCTACTGAGAACAAAGGGAGATGACATCTATTTTGAAAGAGGGCAGTTCTTTGTGGAATGCTCTGTAGAATAAAAGTATTCATCAGCCTATATTAAAAGATAATATTTTAGCTATGAAAGACAATGGCACAAAAATACCATTTAATCCTTGAAACAAAATTTCTAAAGTATCTTGTACTCAAAATTTCAGTGAGTTAACTACATGGGAAGTTTAAAAAGTCATTTGGTATTAAGAACTTTTAGTACAAAAAAGATGCAGGTGCTAAATGTCTTCAAGGATGGACTCTTAAGTGATTGCAATTTATGGATTTACTTGTACGTTCTCAGAAAACAGGACTATGTAGCACTTTAAAGACTAACAAGATGGTTTATTAGGTGATGAGCTTTCGTGGGCCAGACCCACTTCCTCAGATCAAATAGTGGAAGAAAATTGTCACAACCATATATACCAAAGGACTAATAAACCATCTTGTTAGTCTTTAAAGTGCTACATAGTCCTGTTTTTTGTTTCAGCTACACCAGACTAACACGGCTACATTTCTATCACTATTCTCAGAAAAGTCATTGTGTACTGTAATTTGAAAATATACTGTATTCTTCACACGTAACAAAATGGTTAGTTTTCTCTTCTGAATGTAAAACTCATGTAACTATGGAACTATGAATAGTACTCCTATAGCACGCTAAGATGCAGAGCAGTTAAGACTACTTTTTATTCCCACATAGCTACAGTTATTAATTTAGTAATTCAGGCAGTCCTAATACAATTTTACTGCATATCTGTAGAGAATTAGAAGTCTGATGAAACACACTGAAAAACAGTTTCCATCAAAGGTCTAAGGCAGAGGTTTTCAAACTTATAGCAGCAGTGCACCTTCTTGGAGTGTGTCGTTCCCTCCCCAACACCGCACTGCACCACGCCAGTGAATATACCACCACCCAGCTCGTAAGGCAGAGCATAAAACAGCAGCTGCTGGCTGGGCCCCTATCTCTGAAGGCAGGGCCACACAACCAGCAACACAGAAGAAAGGCAAAGTGGTATTTATCTGCATCAGTTTTCACAGCAGACTTATATGTAAGGGTGCAATCACACCAAAGGGAGGCAATATGAAAAATTGTATTTTCCAATATCACTTTTCACAGCAGATTTAATGCTCCACTGCCACGCTTACTTCTAGCACTGCTACTACATCTACAGTGCTGACTGCTGGAGCCCCATCACCTCCAGGTGAGAGGTGGGTGAGGCAGCCTGGGCTTGGGCTCTTGCTGAGAGACTGGGGGATGGGAGTGGCAAGCCCAGGTAATAGGACTCTAGTTGTCAGTCCCAGGGTTCCAGCTGTCACCTTTACCCCCACCATGCAGGTGTGCATGGCCGTTCTACACAAGCCCTAGCCACCTGGGGCTGACAGCCATAGTTCTTAAAACACAACACACACACCGCTCATGCCTCCCTTGATACATTCCCATGCCTCCTTCGGAAGTCCCACCCCATAATTTGAGAACCTCCAGTCAAAGGGAATCACATGACATAGCAGAGGTATAGCGGCAAAGAGGTCTATTTATTTCACCCTACGGAAGAATATGAAAAGAAATTCCCAGGCTGTAAATGTTATTTGAGACATATGGCCAGAACTCTATTATCTGTGAATAACCAGCATAAATTTGAGGTACATTAGCTGTACTCTGCAACATTTGGGATTCAGCAGGTTACAGAGCATACACTACCACAGAGTAATATATATATATATATATATGATAAATGCTTTATCTTTGTAATGACAGAACAAAAACTAAACATTGTATATTCATAAATATACAAAATAACTGAAAGAAAATATAAGCTTACATATGCTGGAGTCTCCAAAGCATCTGTATTTACCAGTATTGGAGGAGGATTTGCCTTTAAAGGAAAAAAAATTAAAAAACATAAAAACACAAGTCAGAGGAAACAATACTAAAAAAGGTTAACAGATATGTACACAGCAGGGAAACTCTATGATTTGTAAAGTACACCAACGTGTTGCAAAATAAACTGGTCCATGTAGACCTTGCTGGTATGCTTGAACATGGTACTATGAAAGGCGTACTATGGAACCTTTCGTGCACACCAGGAGGGTAAACTAGGACCAATAAGTGAGCAATGCAGTCTGCTCCTCTGACAACCCTAGTTTACTAATGGAAAGAAATAAAAGGACAGGTTAAAATTTGAACATTTAAAAATCTATTCTCCACTTAATCTACGTGACAAAAGTATGCATAAAACTACTTTACATTAATAAACTTAGATTGTCAGAGGAGTTTTAATTTCCAGTGATGAAAAGAAAAAAACAAATTATTCTTAAAGTTTAACCAAGCACTCACATTTTACACATTAACTGCAACTTTTTTTATTAAGACTAAATATACTGAAATATTAGTTAAAATAATTAGAACTTTTACCAATGAATGAGATTTCTACAGCACTGTAGATTAACATGGAGATGATTAAACATTTGCTGTGATTAAGCAAGTGACGAAACACCAATTGAAGCAAAAGGTGTAAAGGTTTTTTATAAATGCTGAAGTTGTTGCTCTCAATTGTAATTCCTCTTTTCTTATATAAAAGACTCACGGCTATGACTTCCATTTGCATGTCCCTTTAAAGTCAGGATGTTAAATTTGTTTATAGAGATGGAAGGGGCGATGTTATAGTTATACACTAGAAAAGTCATTATACTATATACTATTCTTGAACAAAGATCAAGGGTGGAAATTTGCATAAACATGGGAAATTCAAGTAAGAGTTCAGAAGTAAAATAAATAAACTTTTTAAAAAGACAATATTTCTAAAAGTGTACCAAAGGACTTAAAAATAAAGTTTTCAGCCAACAATTTAGAAGAAAGATTGGATGGCTAAGTACAATTCAAGGTAGTTGCTAACTGTTACCCATCCAATCTTTCTCCTAAATTGCTACCTGAAAACTTTATTTTTAGTCTTTTGGTGCGCTTTTAAAAAGATTGTATTTTTAAAAATTTTATAGACAGTGTGTCAGTCTGTTTCCTCTACTAAAAACTAAAAGGTTCTTGCCCGCCCAGAGCTCGGGGGCAGCGGGAAATAGCCGCCCATCCCAGCTCAGGTGAAGCTCTGCTTCCACCCCGGTGCTCAGTCCCCTCCGTCTTCTCTCCCAGTGCTCTGATGGCTCAGTCTCCTCCTTCCCTTTTCCCTCCCCTCTCCCTGTGCTCTGTGGACTCTTCTCCCACTGTCTCTACTCCTCTCTCCATGCAGCGCTGCACTGAGCTAGGCCATGTTGCCGGCGGAACCCGTACCACTGCCTGCCCAGTGCTCGGAGGCAGCGGGAAAGAGCCTCCCATCCTGGCTCAGGGGCAGCTGTGCTTCCACCCCAGTACTCTGGGGGCTCAGCTCCCTCCGTCTCCTCCCCCATCTTCTCTCCCTGTGCTCGTATGGCTCAGTCCCCTCCTTCTCCTTTCCCTCCCCTCTACCTGTGCGCTGCGGGCTCATCTCCCACGGTCTCTACTCCTCTCTCTGCGCTGGCAGGGGCAGAGTGGAGCTGCACAGCACAGAGCCAGGTGGCACATCATGCCTGCAGGAGCAAGCCAGGTGGCAGAGCACGCCTACAGGAGCTGGCAGGGGGGCCTGCCACATCGGCCACAGCAGCAGCGCCTCCCGGGAATGAAGCCACGCAGCGCAACTCTGGCGTGCTGGCGGGGGCAGAATGGAGCTGCGCCGCATGGCACGGAGCCAGACAGCAGAGCACACCTACAAGAGCTGGCAGCGGGGCCGTATTGGAATGTGAGCAGGAGTAGCAAGTTGAAAATCCCATAGCAGACAGACAAGAACAATGGCTGCTTAAGAGAAAGATTGTCTAATAACCTCTATTTGGCAGTGGTGCAACTACTATCATTTCTGGTGACCACAAATCAAGAAAGATGTTGACCAACTGGGTTCAGAGAAGAGGCATGAGAATAGTTCAATGATTAGAAAACATATCTTATAGTGACAGGCTCATGGAGCTCAATCTATTTAGCTTAATGAAGAGAAGGTAAGGGGAGTCTCATGATTACAGTCAGTAAGTCCTATCTAGTGAACAAATATTTAATAATGGGATCTTTAATTTAGCAGAGTTAACAGTCCACTGGCTGGAAGCGGAACCTAGACAGATTCAGATTAGAAATACAACATCCATTTGATTTCGTAGGTCCTTCTCGTGAAGGGCCATCGACTGTTCAGTAGAATATGTCCACCAGTTGAGAGATTGCAGTACTGGTGGAGGAAGCGTGAGGCGCTTCGCGAGGCTATATCAAGCTGGGATACAGGTGTTTGCAAGCGAATGCTGTAGGCAGTGCACATGTAGCCTCGCGAATAGGACCATGAAGGTTGTGGCCGCCATCTGCCCCCATAATTGGAGGCAGGTCTGGACCGTTGAAAAAGGAGTTTGCTTGACTCCCCAAATGAGGTCAAAAATTGCCTTGAATCTTTGTGGTGGCAAGTAGGTTCTTGCTGTCACCAAATCTAGGAGTGCCCCGATAAATTCTATCTTGTGTGGGCTGTATGATGGACTTCTGCATATTGACAAGCAGGCCAAAACAGGAAAAATATTCACAGGTAGCGGTTGTCATAGTTAGTAGTTTGTTGATGAGTGGAGCCCTTGATAAGACAGTCGTCAAGGTAAGGGAAGATGATGATGTTCTGTCTTCTGAGGAAGGCTGTGACTACGGCTAGCATCTTGGACAACACTCGAAGGGCTGTAGAGAGACCAAAGGGGAGGATCCTGTATTGGTAATGGTCTTGACCTAGAACAAATCTGAGAAACCTCCTGTGGGCCGGGTGGATGGTTTCATGAAAATATGTGTCTTGAAGGTCGAGGACTGAGAACCAGTCCCCTTTGTCCACTGCAGGTATGATAGTTGCCAGGGTCACCATCCTGAATTTTGTGTTAAGGAGGAACTTGAGTTTCCTGAGATCCAAGATTGGTCTCCATCCCCCTGTCTTTTTGACTATTTGTAAATAGTTGGAGAAGAACCCTCTTCCTCGATATTCTGCAGGAACAGGTTCTATTGTCCCTATGGTGAGGAACTTTTGCACCTCTGCTTGTAATGCGGGCTCGTGAGATGGGTCCCTGAAAAGGGACAGGGTAGGGGGTTGGGTAGGAGGCATGGTTGTGAAGGGGATTGTATAACCCAATTTGATAATTTCCAGGACCCATTTGTCTGTAGTGATTTGGCCCCACTGTTGATAGAAAAGTTTCAGGGGTAAAGAAAGGTGGCATTGGAATGCACTGGCACTGTGGAGCTGTCGGTCAGATGTCCGACAAAGACTTCAAATTTGTTGCTTGTGTGAGGTCGACTGAGTAGAGGAAAACTGATTTTGCTGAGTCCTCCTTCTGTTGCTTAGGCCTGTTGCCATATGGTCTTTGGGTTTGCCTGTAATAGTTATAATTACAGTCCCTTGGCCTTTGGCATGGGGCGTACTTGCATTTCTTACTAGGTGAGATGTACATCCCCAAAGTGTGGTCTGAGTCTCCTTCATTGAGTATAGGAACTCCTTTGATAGCAATTCTTTTGGGACCCCTGATAACTGCAGCCACGAGGCCCTACATGCTATGATGGCTGGGGCTCTAGCTGCAGTGTCAGCGACATCCATTGCGTCCTGGAGGGCCGTTTTTGCTATAGATAAACCATCCTTTATGATGGACTGAAGGTGCAGTCTCAATGTCAGGAAGGTCCTGTAGCAGATCCTATAGTTTGGCATAGCTGGCATGATCATAGTTGACCAAGAGGGCTGTATAATTTGATATCCTGAACTGGAAGGTGGTAGAAGAGTATAATTTGTGGACAAAGGTATCTAGCTGCTTATGCTCTTTGTCACAGGGTGTAGACTTAAATAGTGGGTTCTTACCCCCTTATGGTTAACCAAGTCTACAACCAGTGAGTTTGGCTGGGGATGTGTGAAGAGGAACAAAATATTTTCTATTGGTCCGACGGTTTGTGGGGGGAGATAGAGGCCGGATTTTGCCACAGCACGTCCGATGGCTCCAGGATAGCTAAGTTGATGAGTAAGGCTATCTTTGAGGATGCAGTAGGTTGTAGTATCATCAGCAATTTGTATTGTTTGTCTTGTACCTCTTGAAGTGTATTGTCCTGTGACTGAGCTACCCATTTGAATAGTTCTTGAAATTGTTTTACATCATCTGCCAGTGGAGAGAGCAATATTGGAAAGACTGCTTCATCTAGTCTATAGGATCTGGGGTTCTGTGAGAAGCCCTCCGAGTCTAAATGGGGTAAGTTATCGTTATCATTGGAACCTGCTTGTGACATTACTGAGGATGGGTGAGACAGTGAGAATGCACGGATATGGATGGGGAGCGCACAGAAGTGTGCGGTTGTGTGCTTTAGGCGCTGTATCTCTTGACTGACAGGCATGGGAAGACGGTGACCGATACCCTTGCCATCGTTCCCAAGGGGCCCTGTGACGGAGTGAAGCAGCCCCGCACTGAAGGCAAAGGGCCTAGCAAGGGCTGCCTGGCTGCAGAGGCCCTTCCCCTGCAACCTTACTGGGCAAGCCCAGGCTGTAGCGCAGCTATAAAAGCCCAAGGAAGGGCTCAGTCGGGGCGGGCGGCTGGAGAAGAAGGACCTACGAGGGAAGCTCCTGACCTGCAGCAACCAGCAGCCCCAGAAGAAGCCCAAGGAGACCCTGAGGCTGGGGGGGCATCGCAGAGGATGCCTGCCAAGGAGACATCACCCTGGGAAGGCTGAGAACCTGGCAAGTACAAGAGAAGTGATCCCCCTGGACCAAGTAGGAAGTGGCCCAGGGCAGGAGTGGGAGCAGCCTCTCCCACCCCGGAAACCTCGGCACGCTTCGGTAGAACTTTCCCACCGAGGGAGCGGCACGCCTTCCTGCCA